ATAAAGCAGCAGGCTCAAAGCACAGAGAACTGCAGTCAGTTTCTGCAGATCTGCAAGTACAGGCTCTTGGCACTCCTCTGGAAACAATGAAAACCTATTTTTGTTACAGCTGTTTCACAATTCTCTAGTTCCTGAAGCACAGAATAGGTTAATTTTAAAAAAACTGGGGGGGGGGGGGGATATGACAGCATTTGAGGTATTTGCTGCTATGAAATGAAGCTTACATATGCAGTAGTAAACAGACACTAAGCACTCTGTTTCTCATTTATTTCAGGCAATGACAGTGGTAGAATTTAAACCCTCATGTGGGATGAGGGCACAGCCAATAATGACATCATATAGAGTTTGTTTTCTACATAGTCAAATAATATAAAAGTTTCATGAAACTCATCACTGGGACAGCCAGCACAGTCAGTCCATGAGTTGTCTATTCAGTTAGACCAAGCTTCTTCTTCAGAGATTCTGGCATTTCAGGTGGAGGTGGGCGAGGAAGTCTGAAATAAACCTTCACGGAATCGTAGATGAACCACTGTAGTGCAGTCAGGGTACCAATCATAATGATACGAGCAAACAGACCTTTCCATACACCTGTAGAGTAAAACATAAAGCGTGAGTAGCGTAAGCAGCTAGGAAAAAACCCAAATCCTCCCCAAAACACAAAACACCACAAACACTTGATCCAAAATACATGAAGGTAAGGACATACCTTTGAATCCAAGCCTCATAAGAACCTGTGAAGCAGAACTGCCCTTTTCTTTGTTCAACACAGACACCACTGAGTCAGCAGGATGGGAAACAATTGCACAGAACACACCAGCTGAAAGAATAATTTAACATTAGCTCTGTGGTGTTTCAGCTGTACCATTACTGGGCACATTAAATGCAATCAACTGAAACCGCACCTTCTAATAAATTGCCAATAAACTGCACAGAGATTATATCAAGCCTCCTGGTATCCTAAAAGAACAGCAGGTACACACTTATAATGTGATGTGAATATTGGATAACACCTCGGTTCTGCTCTTGCAGCACCTCTTCTGCTAAAACAAAACTCCTTCTGAACCCTTGGATATTGAAAATCCCCCTTCCATCCAGATTTCTCTCCCCTTCCTTCAACCTCTCCCACCCTAGCAAAGATGCAAGTTTTTGCACTTAAATCAGCTGCAGTTTCTGAACCTGGACATTAACATTGGGAATACATAGGAACAGAGTACTGTCCTACTACAGGCCCATTTTCCATGTGCAGACAATGTATTTTTCCCTCGCACATTTTAAAGTTACAAGTAAATTCTCCTGTTCTAGTTCCACCTGTTGGATATTCTGAAAAGGGATAGGCTTCTAGAGTTACAGTATTCCATTAATGAAGGGTAGGACTTAAAGGGTAGGATTCCTTACCAATATACCCTGCAATAAATGTGACGACTAGCTGTTCTCCTTTCGAACATTCACTTCGCGGCTTGGGAACAACATACTTGTAGAGAGCTTCAACAGTACGTTCAAAGCAGGCAAATTTCATCATTGTGTATGGAATCTGTCTCATCCATAGCGGAGCAACACCTTTATAGAAACTTAACCAGAGAAGAGAGAAACTCAGTTTCATTTTCACACTATTTAAGTATGTTTCTAACTTGAAAAAAATTAGTTGGCTTATTGTTGCTATTGAGAATACAACTTCTAAATACTGACACTATAAGGCTTAAACGTCTCAATACCTACAGAGCAGAAATTTAGCTTTTATTAGTTCCCAAGTACTAACTTAAAACAGCAACACAAATCAGAATTTACCTGATCCCTACGCTGCACAGCTGTTTTCGTAGTCCCTTTTCAGACTACAATACATTGCAGTAATGCAGTACTGATACTATGACTGCAGTAAGGCTCATGTCTGCATACCAGCCAAGTCCCGATAGTGATAAATGACTTGTATATATACAGCCACTTCTATCAGAACAGAAAGCTAACATGCAGTTATATTACTCTTACATGCCAATGACTCAAGCATCTTTGACTGTACAACCAAAAAGTTGCTGAGTATCTCTGACTGGAACTGCTAGAAATGGACGTTATCCAGCAGAACTCAGCACAAAGATACTCACAAAGATGGATCTAAGGAGCATGTGGAATTAACAGCCTGTTCAGCACATATTCACTGAAGTACGTTAACTTGTTAACTTGAAATACAAAGACCAAAAAGCATTATTAAGCTAAAGCCACATTAGTTTTAGCGAGAGTTTTTCATTAGGAAAAAATACTCAACATCAGGAACGTGAATATAAATAAAAATTAAAATCAAGAGATACTTACGCCCAGATGCCTTCTTCTCCAAACATTTTAGGTACAGCCTGCCGGAGAGTGTTAGCATATCCAGGCTGTGTCTGAATACGAACTTTAGCAGCTTCCATTGGAGCCAGAGCAATGTCAGCAAAAAACTCCGCACTGGCAGATGCGGCTAAATATAGTGAAGTACGCCACAAATATGCATTTTCCTGAAGTGAATTTAAACACACATTTTTATTAATGAATCATGCTTTTGTGATTACTCTGTGTTACTATTATGTTGCAGATATATAGCCTCACTTAAGGCTTACCTCTCCCAGCATGTTGCCATACAGGATTTTGAAAACTTCATAGAAACCAAATTTACAAAGCCCCTGCATGGAATATCCAATAAAGGTTGGGGCCCATCCCTTGGCCAAGCCACGAACGCCATCTTCTTTGACTGTCACTGAAAATCCATTGAAGATGCTCTTGTATTTTTGTGGATCAACCTAAACAGAATAGGCAGTTAACTGCTTGATACAGCTTAGTATTTCCCTTCTCACACCATCATCCAAACATAAAATTCTTAGATTTTTCATACAGCTGGCTTCCTACGGTTCCCTGGACAGAGGACAAATTTACCACAAGGTTACATTAATGTAACTGCAACAGTTACTTGCTAGTCTCAAACCCTAACTTTAACAGCCAGTATGCTCCTCAATACTCAAGAACCACCAAACTGTCTGAATTTTTCTTTATATTTATTCTCCAAATCAACAATATGACTTTCTATGTGGGAAAGATTTACTAAAAACACTATTCTAACACTGTCAGTAGTATACTGGTATAATTATGTTTAGAGCAGATTCTTTAAAAATTTGACAGCTTGTCAGCAATCTCATCCACTCTACACATTATACCTATATACCCTCAAGTGTCACCACAAACCAAGCCTGATGATTCACCTGATTTTTTAATCAGAAAAGGTTATTTGTCCACTGTTAGATCCCTCCACACAGTCAGACTTAAGACAGGTAGATGGAGCAGAGCAGATCAAAGAGTACTCAAGAACTTGTACACTTGCACTTTGACTTCACAGTAAAGGCTACATATGAATTAATTTCTGCACACAAAACTTGGGAGTGAGATTTTATTAATAAATTTCTCAGAAATTAAAAAAGACCAATTTTAATTTTGTTTCACGTGAAAGGAAACCATTTAACAGAAATTCTTAAACAGGTCACCCTGACAAATTTTACATCGCATCACACTGTTACTTTTCATATTTGACACCATCCAACATTGCCCCAGAGGATAAGGAGGAAGATATCAAAGTAGAAGTCAACCAGACCTTTCAAAAAGAGCTAAGGGACATGCATCCCAACCTGCAGTGACTGACATTTTGTTTTGCAGCATTTCAGAAAATTGGCTATTTATTTGGGCACTGTAAAATGAGACTATGCTCATGTCAGAACCATGCTTAATTATCATCTACATAAAAGGTGACCTCTTCTTGAAAAGACATGAGAGGGCAGGCAATGCATTTCTTCCAGGAGAATCCAGGAAGCATTAGTAACATACTCTGTACTGGATCTGTAAAGAGATTACATGCTGAGAGGTTTTACAAGGTCACACCTGGCATCCACATGGAACTGTCTTCTTGCACTTTCTCTAAACGCTGGAGAAGGAAGGGGAAGTATCACCACCTGTACCACATAAGCAGCCCAGGACTGCTAGCCCAAGCCAAGCACACCTACCAAGCCTGGGAAGTATGAGGCCTTGCTCCCAGCTGTATGGGCAGCATCGTACAGCTCTCAGGCCTTCTGCCCACTATCCCAATTTGCAGTCAGATTAAGAACTGTTTGGCATGCTACATCCTTTCTACCCATGATCAATCTCCTTCTTCCCAGTAAACTCAACCTTAGGCAGGAGTAGTCAAGGATTTTGAAGTCCATGGCAACAGAAGAGTGCACTTGAGCTACACTGTCAAAAATAAAGCACATACTCAGATACAGCTATTCCCTACTAGCAGAAATAGGGAATTCCTACACAGTTAGCCTGGTCTCAATGTGAATTTTGTAGAAAGCAGCATGTTGCCCTCATCTGATGCACCCTGTGTTTGTCCAATATGTTACAGAATGACGAGTTTGAGACCAGAATTTCAGGCGCTCTCAAGTATGTGAAAAAGCCTCTCTTGTAAGAATGCTAAATAAAGGCCATCCAGCAGAACACAATTTTAAAGAGTATCACATGCAGTATCCCCAGTGCAATTAGCAGGTCTGATTAATTCATAGTTCCCTCGTAATTTCAGGAGTTCCACCATTACAAAATTGCCACTTATATAATCAGCGTCAGCCTATGCAACAGGGAAGTCATTAACTACTGTATTTCCAGAAATTTAGAAGTGTGCTTTCATTTGCTCCATTCTTGAGGCACAAATTTACCTGAATAAATCCATTAGTATATTTTCAACCATGGCTGTCCACTAGATGATTTTATGCGCAGCTGGTATCACAAATTAAGTGCAACGTGATGACACTCCTTTCAGTTCAATCAAGAATCACGTCAAGGAAAGTTGTCCAAATCAACCACCACAAGCACTGATGGCCTTACCAATATTATTTCAAGCTTTACCTATTCTATTCAAAGTGGCATCATTAGAAAGTATCCAATCCGTAAGCCATGCATTGATATCCACAATGTTAATGGATCAAATTACACATGCATGTCACTCCAGGCTACATATTGTAGCTCTTCAAAACACCAAAGATACTATTTACTTTCTCCAAAAGCACATGACCAGTGCTAGATAACCTACCAGCCAGCAAAGAGTAACATTGTGATGAGTGCCTTTCAGCACATATAGTCAAACGTGCCTTAAATGTAGTAAAAAAATAATTCATCCAGACTATCCTAAATGCCTCTGCTTCTCTTGAAAGTGGTGTTTTGTTAGTCTTACAGCAGATTTGCTAAAGCAGCATTCAAGTTCACTCACTTCCTGTCATCCAGAAAAGACTGTGTCCCTACTGTGAACTCTTAATATGCTGGCTACATAGCGAAAAAGTTCAAGAAATGTTTAAGTCGATACAAACCTGCATACGACATTTCACTAAATCCAGAGGTACAACAGCAGTGTGTGTCAGGCCACAACTTAGGACCCCACCAACGCCACAGAGAGCATAAAACTTGAGCGAGCCATATTCACAACTGTATTCTGCAGCAAAAAATAAAGACACACCATGCTTTTACATAAACTCCATGCACTGTTGGACAATGATGTCCAGGGGATAGTTTATGCCTTCAATTCATTAGTAGATTAAATATACCACACTAAACATGCTTTGTCAATGTCATGACATACCAACATGCAGAACAAACCTGCATTCTGCATTTAACCAGGTCTAGAGGAACCAGTGCCGTATGTGTCGTTCCACAGCTAATAATCCCACCAAGGCCACAAAGCACAAAGAATCTGCCTGAGCCATATGCACAGCTGTATTCTAGTTAATTGAAAGAAATTACATATATATGATCAATCATAAACAGTAACAAAGATCAGAAAAGAAACAAAATCGACAGAGTGCTACCTTCTCAAAAGTATTAAACTGATATCACCTCCCATGCTATATTGTTCAGCTGTAGTGATATAACAAAAATTCCCTTGCTTTAAATTAATACCTTTTGGACTGACAAAATTTGATTCTAAGCCTTCCAAATTGAGTTTATTCCTTTAAAAAAGTAATGGAAGAAACAGTTAAGTTTTAGCTCATGGCACAAACCACAGAAATTAATCCCAGAAACTGACAGTAGAAATTATGACTCTAAGTTGCAACATCCAACATTTTCTTATATCAAGGAATAAAGCAAGAACAGTGTTTCTCTAGTATTCTGGAGACAAAGCTTCTTCGGTTAAATATTCTGCGACAGTGCAAGTTCTGCATTTAAGTAGAGACCATAGAGATCTACGAGACCAACGCTGGATTTTTCTTTATGCAGATGTATTTTCACATATTCTTCAGATTCTTTATACAGATTTTTTTTCTTAAATTTTCTTTCAAAAAACAGAAATTCTAATTTATACAGCTTCTGTTTAATGAAATTGCAAATGTTATTAATCGTTACATTCAAGGTTCATTAAATAATCTTTTAGACCACATTTAATCAAGGGATACTTCATTTGTACTGCTCCATACAGTACTGTCATAAGACCATCCAGTCTTAAAAGAACAAGTTATTAATGTTTGCAAATTCCAACAGAGCAAAGTTACTGGAGCTGAAAAAACAAGAATTGGTTTCCCTCTTCCATTGTTGAAGAAGCTACAGAAGGTATGACCAGGTGCAACCAGAAAACACTCAAGTTTACATTTAATAATATCCTGAATAAGCATATAGAAAATAACATACTATGTAGAAAATATTCCTCAAAGTAGAAAGGGATAATTTAGGCTCTTTTGCTATTACACCTAGTGATGTTACTTCAGTGTAACTGAATAGCGTTACACCAACTTCGTAAGAACTATCTCCAGAGAAGCACTAATGACAAAGACAGTGAAAACCTATCCTATTCAGAGCTTTTTTGCCCTGTCTTTTTTGTTCTGAAATAAATTCCTTTATGAACACCAACAGAAATTTACAATTACGTTCAACAGCATCTACGTAGCATCAGTTAACACATGCAGGCTTATCCAACTCATAACTTTGCTACTGCAAGGGAACTTCTTCCCCAAAATGTTCCAGATTTTACATTACATTTTACAATCTCATTTCTCACCTTACTTTTCAAAATCAATCACCAAGACAACAAAAATGTAATTTTTTCTTTTTTCTATAAAACTACAAACAGCAAACCACAGACACTGTATTGAGCCTCAGCTTAAAGCAAGAAATCAGTTAACAGTCAGAATAATGCATAACCTTGACAATTTTTTTTTTCATTGAAGTACTACTCAAGACTGCAAATATGCTGGTCCAGGAGTTACATGTACCTCTAAAATGGCTTGGTTATGCTAGCAGATTTGCAGACAGCAGTAATACTCTGTTTACAACTTGCCAGAATGACTGGTTAAACACACACAAACAAGGCTCTCTGTGCAGGTGTAATCAGAGAACAGACGCCGGAGTCTGTACTACAGAGCAGGTATGTCCAGCTGTATCTTTGGCCTGCAGCACAACAGCACAGTGGTAGTTACCATGCTGTCCAGATATCAGAAGCATTTGTTCACACTTCCTTTTTCACAGCAATTTAGTGTTAGAAGTCGTACTCCTCAACCGACAGACATTTATAGAAGCCACAGAAAAGTAGAGCTTTGTGTATCTACTTTATTACAATGCTACTCAGACTGACCTGTTGGCTAGGTGTTCAAAAACAGTAATTAAGAAAAGCAAGCCAGTACCAAATTAGGCTTGAGCTCTTTACAGGTACCTAAGTTTGTAGTGATATAGCAGTATTAGGAAAAAAAGCCACAGTAGACATGGCTTTCTGCTTCAGAAGTACAGTCAAACTTCCTAAAAACTGTTACCTGAAAAGCAAACAGGCTAAACGTGTAGTACAGACAGCAAGAAAGTTATTCTAATACACCTACACACTGAGTTAAGACAAACACCCTGAAGCTACTCAAATACAAAGCACAAAAATAAGTCTACTCTGTTAAGACAACTACATTGTTACTATTTCATTTCTCTGCTTCTGATCTGACAGTTAACAAGGACAAATTCCAAGGGCTGATTATAAAACACTTTGTCTCTGAGCTGTGTTACAGCTGATGCCCTGATCTGAACTCAAAAGGTCTTGTGGTTTGTACTGACTTTGTGTGACCTTGCACAGGCTCACATACCTTCTGCAACGTGTTACTCTCCCAACACAAAGGCCACAGAACCAACTGGTATGTGAAATAATGAACAAAGCAGAACAGACTACAAAGACTAAGAAACTCTGGTCACCTTTTGACCGCATGTGCCTACAAACAGGATGAAGATTAAGCATAATGCTTTTAAGAAACAAGTGCACCTACTGAATATATTTAGCATGCCAAAGGGTGATTTAGGGCTTTAGTTAGCTAGCAACGAGATTACTATGCTGAAAGCCAATAGTACTTTCTTGAAAACTTAATAAAACCCAACACTGAGTTCTGCCTCTCTGTCACATTTTACATGAATGTTCGCGCAAGAGCACTAACATACTTCGATAACCACAGTACTTCAGAAGAGGTATCTTGCTGAAAGCACTTCATTTTTTTAAATAAAGGTAGAAAGATGCTTTTAAGTTACTAATAGCTTAAGAGAATCAGTTTTAACATCTACCTCTACTATTAGAAGTATCATCAAGGTCTGACCTCTGAAGTCACAAAAGTGATCACAAAACAGAGGAGGGACTTGCACTTTAAAATGCATCACTGTATCTTAGACAACAGAGCTATCTAGCACACGTCCCACAACTACAAAGAAGGGGAAAATAAAAAATAAAAAAAAAAGAAACCCAAAACACCAGAACAGCTGCAGGCACTTCTAATGTGTCTGGATGTTCACATGTCCAGCTGCAAATAAATGCGGGTGCGGGGGTGGGGCAGAGCAGGGAAAGAAAGAAAGGATGGGAGAATTGGTCTTTCAAATCGATCCAGATTCACGTGCCGTTCTTCTCCACGAAAGGGACACGTACAGGCCCACAGCCTCAGTCCCCGAGGCTGCAGGCCCCGCAAGGCCAGAAAAAAACCTCTCTTATCCCCAAGACAGACTCCGTCGGTGGTCTCTGCAATTACTCTGAACTAGAACCCTCCCGTTTCCTTTCCTGGTAACACCAGATCCTTGCTGCCACCCGACACACACCGCACGGGGAGCGGAAGAGGCTGCCAGCGCCTCCCCCG